ACCATGGCCGCCTCCCTCCCCAGCACAGGACACGTCTGGAGCTGCGCAGGGGCCGAGGTGGCGGCGAGGTGCTCCCCAGAGCCTGGTGCCGCGCTCGGGCCCTGCCGTCCGTCCCCTTAACTGCTCCTTAACCAGAGCTCTCGGAGCCTGGAACCACAGCAGCCGAGGAAGCTCGCAGGTCCGCGGGGCTGCGGGAAACGCCAGTGAGGGTGCTGGTGTCTCTTTCCCGCCCCTGGTCCTTCCTCCAGGGTGTCCCTGCCATGCTGGTGAAGCTTCAGCCTCTGATTTTCAAGTGGCCCAGCCTTATTTATGTCATTTGGTTTTCACATGCAGATGCGAAGTGTTTTGCATTGGAACCAGCAAAGAGCCTGGATACATCATCATTCAGCAATCTACTCCGGAGACAAGGATGCAAAAGCTAGACCTGAAGACACTTTCTCCTTTAATCCAACTGGGCTGGGCCTTCTGCAAACGCTGCCCTCTCCAGTTGTGCCATAACAGACTCTGGGTGAAGCCCCCGTGCAGTGGGCTAGGCCTCACTCAGGACACACGGGTTATGGAAACACCTCACGGTGGAGATGCCTTCGTGCACACCGATGCACGCACCCTTGAGTTGGGGTGTCGTCTCTTTCACGTGCGCCTGTGGGCCTTGGTGTCCACCCCACGCCCTCTGGGTTCGTGCCTGAGGCTCCATCCTGTCCCCGCAGCCCCAATGTGAAATGGGTGGCCTGACTGTGGTCCTCACCCGCGCTTAGAAGGGACTTAGGAGACTCAGCCGCAGGCACACACAGAAAGGTCACTACAGGGTTTATTTACACAAGGGGAAATGAAGAAAGGAATGATTCAGGGAGAGAGAGAGAACCCCAGTAGCCGCTGAGAGCCGGTGAAAAGCCAAGGCCCCCGGCCCACAGTCTGGTTATGCCAATGCTGGCTGCTTAGCTGCACCCAGTCCCAGCAGCACCTTTGGGGGTGAGGATGTTGGGGATCTGCAGTCCTTGGGGTCCTGGATCTCTCTGGTCCGGGGTGCGGGCGGGGCCCATGAAACCTGTCTGTGGAGTTTGTTCAGGAGCTCTTTTCCCAACAACCCGCCCTCACTTCCTGGGGTGAAGCTCTGGCCTGCACCTCTGGGCCTCTCGTATCTGGAGCTTGTCGCCTTCATCCCTGAACGTATTTCCACTGGAATGGACTGCCCCATCGCCTCCCGTGCCTCCCCACGCCGTGTGCCGTTTCCCTCTGGACCTGCCTCCAAAGTTCTCTTTGCTTTTCAGAGACCTGATCCACTGACTGACCCCTGGGACTGGCCTCGCATCCATCCTGGCGTTGGCTGAGATCCTGAACCTACACCTTCTTGACTTCCGCCAGATCTGGTGAGTTTCCTGCCGCCCTGGACTCGCTGCGTATTGCTCCCGCCCGCTCCCTGCGGGGGGTCCAGGCGCACGTGTTACATATTTTGAGGCTGTATTTGTTTATTTCTCCTCAGTGTCTTCTCTCTCCGGTTTCCAGGTTGGAAACTTTCCACTGATCTCGTTTCAAGTTCACAGACTTTTTTTTTATCGTCTCCAAACCAGCGATAAGCAGATCCATCGTCTAAGTTTCAGACATTACGTTTTTCCTAAGATGCACTCTTGGCTCTTGTTTTAGATCCGATTTCTCCGCTTCGGCGTCTGAACTGCCGTCATCTCTGCGTCAGACTGTCTCCTGCTGCTCCCTGCGCCCAGCCATGACTGTGCGCCCAGCCCGTGGGCCCAGCGGCCCGGCCTCCCTCCGCACGCGCATCTCCTGTCCCGCCATGGGTGAGTTGCTCGGGGTTTTCTAGGTATCGTGATTCTGGGCCCTGCGAGGTTCTCCAGACGCCGATGTTTGCTTTCTGCACAAGCAGCAAGGGGCCAAGATCCAGCTCAGTCTGCTTCAGGGACGGCTCTGCAGCCTCAGCAGGGCTTGGGGACGGTGTCCTTTCACGGTCCTGGGCGAGGCCAGAGTCCGGGGCCCCCTCGCGCCTCTGCCCTCCCATCTTCATCCATCCAGCTGTGTGTCCCTGTCCCCGCAGCCTCTGAGCCTGCAGCCCTCTCTCCTCGCTTGTCCACAGGACGGCTGGGTGCTGCCCTGGGCCACAGCTCTCCCGCCTCCACTGTCCACTCTGCCTCTCGGCTCCCGGGGTACCCAATTCTGCCCCTCAGCAACTGGGGCGCCCGGCTCTGCCCCTCAGCTCCCAGGACACCTGGCTACCCAAACATGACTTCAATCTGCAGGGGGTCGGTCCCAGTGAGGCCGTTGCTAGGAGTCTGCAACTTTACCCCGGAAAGAGTTTCTCGTGTTGCGATTTTTGAACATAGACTTTTAGATTTTTTATCTTGGGGTTGCAGGATGCTTTTTTTTTTTTATTAAAAAAAGACTCATTTATTCATGCATACAAGAACTGGGGGTGTAGGCCAGAGGTACAGGGGGTGAGAGACCCACCAGAGAGAGTGGGGAGCAGAACAGGTGGATTCCCTGAAATCCACTGCTGAGGGGAGCAGCAGGGAGACAGGAGAGGTCTGCTGCGCCCTGTGGGTAGCTCCCTGGCCGGCCGTGGATTGAACTCGTGCTGTAGTGACTGGCAATAGAGTGACAGCACTGTTTTTAACCCCTGCGCTACCAGGGAGGCCCTGCTAGACACTTTATTAGGTCGAACATTTTAGGTCTGATGCCATTTTTACGCGTCGGATGCAGTCAGATAACGAGAGTTTCCTGTGGCCCAGTGAGGTGTCCTGGCCCTGCAATCTGGGTCTAGCCTCTCGGCCTTTAAGCTTCCTGAATCTGATTGCTAATTTTATGATTTAATTTTAATGTAATAACTTATACCGTCACTATTCCCCTCAAATGGCCGCATGAATTAATGGTGTGGAAAAGGCACCCATCCTCAGCCTGGGTAAATGCAATGACTTGTGGGTTTCACCATCTTTCACTAGCAAAAAATTTTAATCAATGATCAAAAATATTATCAATTTAATTTGTGTTCTGTTCTTTATTGTCTATGTTGAATATATTCACGGTGCTTATTAACTTAGGTGTGTCTTCTCTGGAAAGCAGTATCAGAATATTTTAGGAACCAGGAGAATTTAAGGCTTTTCATCCTTTAATTTCCTCCTTTGCGCATATTTGAGATACATAAATCTGCCTAACATTATGAACCTTTTAAGATGACCTCATAGGGGGCCCCACACGGGCGGTGCAGCCGCTGGGACGGTTGGTGCCTGGTGCCTGCCTGTGCTGTGCAGGGCCAGCTGCAGGGCCAGAGACACACAGAGGATGGGGGGACCAGGGGTCAGATGGAGGCTGGTGGTCAGCGTGAGCCCCGGAGGACTTCCTGCCCCAGGGCGAGGAGCATGACCCTCCTGGCCTTCTCGGCCTTGTCTGTTTACCACTTTCTGAAACAGCAGATTCACTTAACCCCTGGGAGAACCCAGGGTGAGCCTGTGAGCACACTGGGAGGTCTGTGCTGACCCAGGCAGCAGGGCCAGCAGCCTGTGGTCTGAATGTGTGGCCCCTAATCCGTTTGTTTAGTTTGCAGGAAAAAAGCCACTGAAAAGGAGAGTTATTGTGACAGGGCGACCCTGATGTGAATCCTGTCCCCCAGCATCGTAACCCCTGAGCACCGTGCAGCGAGGGCTGATTGGCCCATGATTTTAACAATCTGCTGGAAGTTATCTCCAAAGGATATTACGATCATAACTGAAAATGAAAAAATAGTCCCCACGCATGTCCAGATCTGCACAGACCTTGAACACGGCGCCTCAGCCAGGCCGGCCCATCTGACCCACAGAGCCTCCCTGGTGCCTGCATGGGTTCTCAGCGGAGCTCACACGCGGGCAGCCCCGGGGTCAGCCTTCGGGGTCAGCCTTCGGGGTCAGCTTTCAGATTCGTCCTGGTTACTGCCGCCCTCTCCCGGGAGCACGGACTCCCCAGGGGCCTCGGGGAATGGAAATCAGGGTGACCACAGGGCCCCACCACATGCTGGGGTTCTCTCTGCCCCACTCCCCTGCTGCATGGCCCGGGCCCTTGCGAGCCCAGCTGAAGGGTCTGGCCCCGCGACGCCCAGAGCGGAATCCAGCGTCCGCGACCTCGGGAGGCCTGGGCTGCCTCCTCTCTGGCTCGGGGACCCTGATGGCAGGCTGGCCTTTGATCTCCTGCTGAGGAGAGCGAGGCTGCCGGGTGGCGCTGACCGGCTGAGGGCCTCTCTCCGGCGGCTACGCGGAGGGTCCGGCCCCGTGCGCCCCACGGCCTTCCCACGGGGTGGGCCAGAAAACCCTGTCATCTGTCTGTCCTCGGAGCTGCCAGGCCCAAGCGCCATTTCCCAAGCCATGCTCTGCTGCTGGGCGGTTTTTCTAGGGAGGACGCCGGTGCCGGCTCCTCAGCTCTGCCAGAGGCCGCAGCCTGCGAGAGCCTGGTGGGGGGCGCCGTGACTGGTCCGGCCCGCAGTGCCCAGCGTTCCTCGTCCTGCAGAGGCTGGCCTGTCTGGCCCACCTCCGCCCCTGCCCCGAGAGCCCACCCTCCATGTTGTGGCCTCTGCTCCCGTCCCTGAAGGGTGAGAGGCGGCCAGGCCCCTGCAGCCCAGGTCCAGTCTCCACGGGACGGTGGGCAGTGTCCTTCTCAGCACCTGAAAGCCGGCGGGGGCGGGGCTGGCACTGGGCTGGGTGGAGATGGGCCCCAGCAGAGATGGGCGTGGACAGGGTGTCAGACCGGAGTCCAGGAGCCAGCCAGGCCTGGGGCGGGGCAGGGGGTGCAGCTCTGGCTGCAGGGGCTCGGGAGCCTTGTGGGGAGCAGGGCTGTGAGGGCTGGGCTGGAAGCCGAGGCCCTTGCCTGTAGGGCTGCCGTGTTAACCAGGACCTCGTCCTCCGGCAGCTACAAGGTGTTTCCTGCAGCCCCACTTTCACGCCTTTAAAAGTGTGTCAGCACCTTTCTCTCAAATACAGTTTAGTTTCTCACTGTCCTCCCTCCCCTCTCTCCCCTTCCCCCCCGTCTCTTCCCCCGTCTCTTCCTCTGGCCTCAGTGTCGGGGCAGAGTGGGCTGGCGCTTGCTGGGCTGCGGTGTGGGTGCGTGAAGGCCGCGGCCTGGGGCTGTTCTTCACTCATCCACAGGCAGCGTCAGAGGCCGCACGTGTGTGGTTCCCTCCCCAGAAAAGCCCACGGTCAGGGCCCTTCATCGTCTTGCTCGGGGAGGCATGTCCGGCCTGCGTCCTCTCTGCTCGGGATAGCTGACAGAGCAACTGGCCAGCCGACTGTGTGTCCATCGCACCCGGTGCCGGTGCCGGTGCCACAGGTGCTGAAGCCCATCCTTTCTTGTTGTAAGGAATGACCCACGTCCAGCCTGAGGGTGGGAGGAGAGCGGGCTGGGCAGAGATGCCGCTGGCCGGGCGGGAGGGGCTGGTCCTGGCTCTGCGGCTGGCTCCCTGGAGGTGGGGCCGCCCCCACCCCCATCCGCAGGCTCCGGCCCTCTGGAAACTCCCGACCTGGGAATGTTTTCCTGCAGGCACAGTGTTTCCCTGCTGGAATTTTATTCACTGGTCCAGCTTTGTCTCCCTCTAGAAAGCCCATGAATAGCTGGCCCGGCAGAGAAGGGCTGGCAGGGCAGCTGAGACTCCGGCCAAACCCTGCCCTCGTCGCAGAGCAGCCCACGGGAGCCAGCCCACCGGCGCCAAGGGGCGGGTGCCAGGGCGGGCGGCTGGTGACAGCCTCCCCTGCTCACTTCCACGCATTGCCGGGCTCCTGCAAGCCCCAGTTGCCGCGGCCCCCTCGGGGCGCAGGCTGGGAGGGCAGCACCCACTCTAAATGCCCTCCTTGTTCCCAGCCCAGGAGCCAGAACCCCTGCGGGTCAAGCCGCTGTCTCGGAGCAGAAATTAGAAATCAGTGACTCACCATCAAGGGGACGGAACTCAATGGGGCTGTTTTCCTGTGGCATTGTGTGGAGATGTTGCAAGACGTGATCTGGGGTGAAGGGAACGAGGGGGTCACGGAGGTCAGGGACTGCGGAAGGCCGGCCGTCCCCATCTTCGTTTTGGAACCCCAAAATAAATACCTGCCGTTCAGGGGGCGCTCGCAGGCAAGGGAAATGGCTCCGGCCTGGGCGGGCGGCCTGCGCTCACCAGGCCTTTCCAGCCCAACGCGCATGGCCGGTTCTGGTTCTGTAGCATCTTTTGTGAAACCACAGCGAGCCCGCCGCGCCCCTGCAGGAGGACGCCAGAGGGTGTCCTCGAGCCGGCAGCCCCTCCCAGCCCAGCGCCCTGGAATCCGGGCTCACCGCGGGGTGGGGTGCGTGGGGGCCCCCAGCCCCGCCTGCAGACCGCAGGGGCAGGACCCACCTCCGGCCGCGGGTGAACGGGACCCACGTCCGCCGGGCCGCCGCCCGGGGCGCGTCCACCCGGAGAGCCCGGGGCCGAGGCAGGGTGGCCGGCGGGCTGGCAGGGCGGGCGCGGGGTCTCCACGCCCCGGCCCCGCGCTCTCCCGGACCGGCTCCCTCCGGCCGGCTTCCTCCCGCCCGCCCCTCGGGCTCGGGGAGCCCCTGGGCAGTCCCGGGTCGCAGGTGTGTGGAGGGACCCCAGGTATTCAGCACCTGTCCCGCCAGCCCTGCCCGCAGCCCCTCTGGCCGGACGGGGGGCGGGGGCGGGGGGGGGGGCGCGGGCCGAGCAGGGGGCGGGTCCGGGCACCTCCCTCCCCCCTGCCTCAGCCGCGGGGCTCCGGCCGGGGCGCCCCTCCCCGCGCCCCCCCGCCCCCCCAGCCCCGTCCCCGAGCGCGGCTCTTTGTGGGCGGCCTCCAAGCGCCCCGCGCCCCGCGCCCGGAGGAGGGTCGGCCCGGGAGGAGGGTCGGCCCGGGAGGAGGAGGGTCGGCGGCCCGGCCCGGCGAGCGTTGCCATGGCGCCCCGGGAGCGGAGGGAGCGGCGGGGCGCTCGGGATGCCGGTCACGCGCCCCCCGCCTTTGTGCGCTGCCCCCCCGCGCGTGGGAGGAGCGGGCGGCGCGCGCGGGCGGGGACTGGAGCGGCCGCCGGCCCCGCTGCTGCCGCCGCTGCTGCTCCGCGCCGCGCCCCTCGCCGGCCGCCAGGTGCGCCGCGACCCGCCGCAGGTACCGGCCAGGTGCGCCAGGACGGGGGTGTCCCGGGGCGGGGGTGTCCCGGGGCGGGCGCTGTCCGCAGGGGGGGGAGCTCTGCGGGGGGCGGTGGCTGTCAACCGGGGGTGGGGGTGTCCGCCAGGGGGGCTGTCAGCGGGGGGGGGGGGACTGTGAGCTGGGGGGGCTGTCAGCGGGGGGGCTGTCAGCGGGGAGGTGCTGTCAGCGGGGGGCCTTTCCACCGGGGAGGGGCTGTTGGCGGGGCGGGGCGGCTGCCGGCGGGGGGCGGGGGGGGGCACGAGCAGTCGGTGGCAGGCGGTGGATCTGTCCTCGGGGGCTGTCGGTCTGTCGCCTGGGGGGCGGTGGTCTGTCCAAGGGGGGGGTGTCTGTCCGCGGGGGCGGTGGTCTGTCCAAGGGGGCGGTGGTCTGGTCTGTCTGCGGACAGGCTGCGGGAAGGTTTAGGGCAGGGCGGGGGCAGGTGGCGTGAGCGGGGACGGGGTGGAGGGGAGCGTGGGGGGCGGGGGAGGGGAGCAGGGGAGTGGGGGGGGCGGGCGGGAGCCCGGCCTCCGGCGGGGGAGGGGATGATGGTTCAGCCCTTCAGCCCGCAGCTGGGGTGCCGTGCGGAAGGAGCCGGGGTGCGGGGAGCCCGCAGGAGGAGGGGCACGCGCGGGGGGGGGGTGTTGGGGGGCGCGGGGCCCGCTAGCGGAGGTGGCGCTGGGGCCTCCTGGGCACCCGCGGGCCCCCCCACGTGGCTGGCCTCCTGCCCTGGCCTGCGCTGGGGCCCGCGGGGAGCCTCCCGCCCGCCTCCTCAGCCCTGGGGGGGCGCGTCCTCCTCACTGGGGCGGTCGCCAGGGGCTGGTCCCGCACCCCGGGGCGCGCGGGGAGTCAGGCTGCTGGCGGCCACGCTGCCATTGATTAATCCCCGCTAAGGAGACGAGTGTCCTCAATGCTCTGCGTCTTTAATGAAGGCAAAATACCAACTTCTCTCATTTTGGAGAACGCCAGTGTGGGCGCTCCTGGCCTGCCCACACCTGCAGCGCCCGGGGTGGCAGGGCGAGCTGTAAGCTGGCCGGCGCTGGCCAGGCTGGCTGGCCCGGGCATTGGGAGGAGCAGAGCTCGGCCAGCAGGATGTGGTCTGAGGCTGTGGGGCTCCTCCCCGCCACCTGTGAGGCGCGGCTGGGTTCCTCTCCGTCTCTCCTCGACTGACCAGGGCGGCTGGAGATTGAACTCGGTTCCCACGCTGGTGTAGGACAGGCTTTCCCCTGGGGGCCCCCTGCGGGGAGCTGGCTTCTGGAGAGCTGAGCTGGCCCCTCCTGGGCGTGCCTGGCGGGCGGTGGGGCTGGCAGGTGTGGCAGCAGGTGCACAGTCCTCAGCCGACTCTCGGCTGCAGAAGCAGAGCACTAGGATAATGCACAGAGCCTTTCCAGAGAGTTCTCTGCTGCACCTATGCCTGTGGGTCCTGCCCTTTGAAGAAAAGGCTGTCTGTGTCCATTGCTACCTGGAGGAGAGGTGCTCGGCTTACCTGGGAGCAAGCCACTGAGGTCTGCAGCCACTGCAGGCTCCACAGGACCCGGCGGGCACACAGCACACTCGCTGCCCTTGGGTTGTGTCACCCCAGGCGCGAACTGGCTTTAAACACATTTTCAAGATCACTTACTAAATCAAAGGCAGGTCTCCGTGGGTCTGAAGTAGATCTCGCCATTTGGGATTTTGCACAAATATAGCTCACCTGGGGACAGAGTCGCTGGACAGGGTCTTGATTTTACGGCTCCTCTCTGGAGCCAGGAGGTTGTAGACCCCAACATTGCTTTGTTGAAATAACTTGGCCTGATTCACTTTCAAGGAGAATTAGAACAGAGAAATAGAGACTGATTTACGATTCTACTCATTTTTACTCTCACAGAGGAGCTGGCACAGCAGGGTCTGGTGTGCCCACGAGACAGGAGGGGTCAGAAGCCCATGGGTGTCCCTCCAGAGAGCAGGTGTGACCTCACCTTTGACTCTTGGAGGGCAAACACCCCTCCTTTGTGTCCTCTTTAGAGCGAGGTACCCATCATGGGGGCTGGTCCAGGCCTGGGGCACTGAGTGTCTCACCCACTGGAGAGCCTGTGGCCTTGGGACTGTGTGGCCTGCAGGTCCCAGATGCTCTAGAGACAAGAACGAGCTGCCCGTCCCTGCGCTCCTTGTGCCCCCGTCCCTATGCTCCTTGTGTCCACAGGGGGTGACATGGGTGCCTGGCCAGTGCCCAGGTGTGCGCAGAGGGGCTGCTCCTGGCTCAGAAGCAGCCAGTGTCTGGCTCACGTGCCCCTGCTCTCTCCACGCGGAGACCCAGGACGCTAGGACGCTGTGTTGTCAGTCACAAGCTTTGAGGTTACAGCTTCCTTCTCGCTAATTCAGCCTGAAGAGAATGCAATTATTATGGTGATTTACATACAACGTGCTGCGTTAACACTGCTAATGAGTGAAGGCATAATATTCTCTCTATTCATCCCTAGAAAAATATTGTGCTAAGCATTCTTTCACAGGAAAGACGGGCTCAGCGTTCCACGTCTACCTGGAGGAGCTCAGCGAGGAGCCATTTTCTCTGCTGCCAAGGGAATCTCTCACACTTGGGGCTCGCAGGCTCTCCCTGGGAGAGGGGCAGGAAAACAGTCTCATTTTAATTAGATTCGCTGCTGTCCCCTTCTCTGCATCTTTACTGGAAGAAAGACTTTGTGTTTTCTAATCTTGGAGGCTGGTTAACACCTTAAATATTACTAATTACTGCAGTTTATTTTGCCTTGCAATAGTGTAGTTAGTTAATTATAGCTTTCTCATCAGCGCCATGTAGGGAATAATGAATTAGCACATCCCTTTGATCCAAAGAACCTCTAAGTTTCTCTTCTGAGAATAAGTGTGATTGTGTTACCAAAAGTCACTATAATTTTCGCAAAAGAGAGCTGCTGGGATTGGCCGGCTCTGGCTCAGAGCTTGATGAATGAGCTGGCTGGCTCGTGGCCGGGAGGGAGGAAGCTGAGTTGCTTGGCAACCTAACATTATTCTGCAGTTTCTGCTGGTATATTTATCCAGTAAACTAGAAAATTCTGTTTTGTTAACGAATGTTTTTAGTCAGTGCACAAATAGACCATAACTAATTGAGATTTTATGTGTTGTGGATTCAAAACGATGCCGCTAACCTTCCCATTGTGTTTAGATGATAAAAATACAGGAAGAAAGAATCTTCCATTTGCAATTTTTTATTTTCTGTAAAAAATGTTTGTTTCACTTTCACCTTAATTCCCTGCTGTCAAAAGATCATGACTTATTTACCTCTGTGGAAGTCACATTACCGGGAGTGTGTGTGCCCAGTGCCACTTGTCAGTGAGAGGTAGGGGCCGGACTGAGATGAATTCTCCCAGAAAGCACGGTCTGCACTGGTGGCGCTTTGCGGGGCTTGGGGGAGCGGAGGGCCAGGCAGTGCCGCCGTGGTGGGTCCGGTAGTGCCTGTGTCGCCGTGGCCATGAGCCGACTCTGGCACCCTCCCTCCCTGGGCTTTTCCCAGTCCTGGCTGAGGACAGCGGCCACCTGGCGTCACTCCAGGCTCCATGCAGCCACCACCCCCCTGCCCAGCCCTGGGGTCAGTGTGCGCCCCAGTCCCCTTCTCAGGGCATAGCCAAGGGCACTGACCCCCCACCCTGAGCCTCAGGCTGGACGCACGAGCACCCTGGAGTGGCGTCCAGCATCCGGCTGGCCAGGCGGGCTCCCTGAGGCAGGCCTGAGTCTGAGGACGCCTCACGTGTGTCGCTGGCTGAGGCAGCTCAGCTCCGGGAGGCTGATGGTGGCCTGGGAAGCGAGGCCAGCCATGCTGATGGCCCACGCGCCCGTCCTGGGCTCCCCGACGGCTGGGCCGCCTCCAGCTCCCCCTGCATTTTGGCTCTTTGTTCTAATAATTATGTTCTTCCTACTGGTGCTTGGTGTGTGACGGGGAACGACAGAGATGGGCGAGTGTGCGTGAGTGTGGGTGGGTGTGAGCTGGCCCCATGGCTGGCAGGGCTCCCCCCCTCTTGCTGGCAGCCCCCAGGCTGGCTGGCAGGCCTGGGTGGGGCAGGGCAGCTGCTCCCAGGTGTGGCTTTTCTGCTCTCA